CGGGGGGTCACCAGGGCCCCGCCGTGCCGGGGAGCCCCTCCTGGTGCCTGGCCGGCAATGCCAGGGCACCCCACGCCCACCAAAACCACCATGGCCATCATACCCATGGCAAGGGCACCCTGCCAGACAGAGCGGGATGAATCCTGGGGAGTCTGGACTGGTGTCTCTCCTGCTCCCCATGCCCATCACCCCTCCTCCTTCCAGCCGCAGGCACCAATCTCAGCCCCTGATGGTGCCCCCTCCACATCCATGGGCACCCCCCTGGAGCTGGGGACTTAGTTGCCAGGACCCTGGGGACTCGGTGGCGGGGGCTGACATGGAGCAGGTTGCTCCTCGCTCCCTGCCCGCTGCTCAGCATCAGCCCAACTTTACAGAAAGGGTACAGGAGCTCCTACCTCTGCCCTGTGCCCCACGGCCCTCCCCACAGCCCCCCACGGCCCCCCTTCTCGCAATCTCAGCGACTGCTGCCAAATCATCATTTATTGTCTGCCTTGGCTCTGGCAGGCAGGAGCTCTGCCGCTTTGAATCGAGGTGCAGGGTGTCTGTTTGCAAAAGGCAGGATGGGGACAGCCTGGGGACGGGAGGCTGCAGGAGCAGCAAAATGAAGGGCAGCAAGCATGGGGGTGGGCAAGTGCAAGGTCCCCCAGGACAGGGGCCGGCAGCAACTCCGAGCAACCATGAGCTGTCGGGAGGACTCGGGCAGAGTCCCCAGGACTGATTTGGACAGCTAGCAGAGCAAACAGGGACAGGCAGCAGGAGTGTGGGGTGCAGCCCTCAGCCCTGCAGCAGCCCAAAGCCTGCAGGACACACACAGCGCCGACGGGCACTGGGGAAACCTGCCCTGGAGATGCAGGCAAACACACCGGCAGCTGCAAACACGCAAACCCAGAGGCAACGGGCAACCTGGAGCATCCCGCGCATGAGGATGGAGCAGGGAGATACAGGCAGGCTCTGCTTGCCACCCAGCCCTGGACACGGCCACCTCCTCACCCTTGAGGTCTGTCAGCGTCTCCCCCAGCTGCTTGAGCACCACTGCCTTCTCCTCCAGCTCCTGCACAGGGATGAGCCGGTGGTTGTGGGCCAAATCCTTCTGGATCTTCTCCACCGACTTCTCCAGATCACTGTGAGCACAGGGGAGATACAGGCAGGCTCTGCTTGCCACCCAGCCCTGGACACGGCCACCTCCTCACCCTTGAGGTCTGTCAGCGTCTCCCCCAGCTGCTTGAGCACCACTGCCTTCTCCTCCAGCTCCTGCACAGGGATGAGCCGGTGGTTGTGGGCCAAATCCTTCTGGATCTTCTCCACCGACTTCTCCAGATCACTGTGAGCACAGAGGCAGGGCAAGGGTGTCACTGCTGCTCCGGGATGCTGGAGAGCCCCAGGGGTGGCCAGCCTGGCAGGTCCCCACGCGGCAGAGGGGAGAGGACTGGGCTGGGGACC